GTTTTTCGAGACAGGGTTTCTCTGTGTAGCTTTGCACCTTTCCTGGAACTCACTTGGTAGCCCAGGCTGGCCTTGAACTCACAGAGATCTGCCTGGCTCTGCCTCCCGAGTGCTGGCATTAAAGGCGTGCGCCACCACCGCCCGGCCAGCTGACTCTTTTACTGTCTCTGGATACTCTGGGATGTTTTCAGATGAAGTCTTTGGGGCCCCTACTACTTGTGAATCTCCAGGGCAACAGTGACCATGAGAGGCGGGCTTGGAGTAGTCCGTGAGTGGCACACTTGAGTGTGCATGGATGCACGTGTGCTTGGCCCTGTGTCCACTACCTGCCAGCCTGCTAGGCAGCTGGGGGGCTACAGTTCAGAGAGGGAGAAAGTCCTGGTCCACTCTGCACCTCCCTCTGTCTAAGGAAGACGTCTCCCTCTTCTCGTTCCTCCCTTTAAAGACTGCACAGGAAGCTGCTTGCTTTGGCAAGCTTTACTTCAGCAATGATACCACGGTTCTTTGGGTCCCCAAGAATCACTGGGTCCACGTGACCCACCTGGAGTAACCAGCCTCCCCCCCCCCCCCAACGCCGTGTTTGGAGGCCAGAGCCCTGAGGGCTGAGAGACATCAGGACTCCAAAGGCTTTTTGGAGGATCTGGAGGTCAGGTGATCCTAGATGTTGGTGCAGTTTCAGCCTCAGCCCTGGAACTCCCCTGGTCACTGTGCATCCATAACAAAGCTGCCTCTTTCCTCCCGGGGTGCAAACTCCATCCATCATGCCCCACACTTGGACCAAGAAACGGCCATGTTTCTGTGGCCCTGCCCCTGCCATCCTTTCTGAGGGCTTTGGGGCATGGAGGAAGTCAGAACCAGCTACCCTCCGTGTCCTTCATGGAGTCATACCTCAAACCTCCGGCACTCCGGCTGGGGCCAGACTTAGGGCCTCTGGAAGGCAGGTGCTTCAGTGTACATTGAGGCTGCCAGAAATGTCTTCATGGCAGGAAGTCCTAGATGTGCCGTCTCTCATCTCACCTAGGCCCCTGAGAAACCTGGCGGTCAGGTCAAGGGGGCTGGAACCACATGGCAGAGTCACCCAGAAGACAGAGACGCCCGAGGAGCCAGGAAATCAGTGTTTCGGCCACATTGCCTTCTCCTCTCTCAGGCTGGACCCAGGAAGGAGTCTGGTGGAAACTGGAGCTTTGTCCTTGATGTTCTCAGCATCCTTCCCGACCCCTGAGCTTTAACCCACAGGGAGCGGCTATAAGCCTCAGGAATGGATAGGCCGGTGGATGATAACCACCCAGACAAGGCCACTGGTGCATGGATGTCTGGATCCCAGCAGCAACAGACATGGGGCGGGTACAAGTCACTACTGAGACACTAGGCAGCAGGATTTGCAGGTGTGGAAGCCAGCTCAGTCTATGCAGCGTTGATAGTTGCCTTTGGAGCTTTTGCCTACAAGGATAACAGATTAGGGATCAAGGTACCGTCCCCCAAAGTGTGGCAGAACCCAGTGTTCAGGCGGAGTGACACAAGCAGGCCCACCACTCACTTCTTCATACTTGGTCCTCCAGTAGAAACGGGCTTCTCTATCCACATACAGTAGTAGCAGGTCACAGAGGAAGGTGACCTGGAAGAGGCAGGACCTACCATGTTCTAGATTCCTCCAGCCAAGCCCTCACCCAGGACACACTATGCAGGTCCGGTGGGTGCCCCAGGCCCTGGCGGATGGTTACTGCGGCCAGCGTGAACCCTAGGTTCAGACTTACCATGCCCAGCCAAGCTGCTCCTGTGCCCACTGTGATGGCCGTCGGGATGAGTGCAAACTTCCCTGCCTGAGAGACCTGGGCTGAGCCTCCGCGCCTGGGGCTGTCCTCCCAAACCTCCCCGGGTCTAAACTTTACCTTCCCAGTGACCAGAATGTCAAAGCGGATCCCATAGAGCTTGAGCAGACTCCGGGCTTCCACACCCGAGGCTTCCCACCAGTGATTGGCTGTCCTGGGGATCGCAGAGAAGACGCCATTGGTTTGCATGCTGCATTTCAGGCCGGATTACCCACGGACTCTACCAGCCCAAGCCTTAGGCTCCATGTAGGTGTTAAGGAAGGGGAAAGCGGCCCAAACCCTGGGCAGGGCCTGACGGGAGGAGGGCGTGTCGGGAGGAGGACCAGAGAGGGCACGGGAATGCTGAAATGAACACTGGCAGCCGGGGATGGGAGAGGGGGTGGGGTGGAGGTGAGGGCTGGGGAATTCTGAGACAGCGGTTCCTTTCGGCACAGAACTGGGGGAGGAAGTGAGCCAGGCGCTGTGGCAGGGCTGGAGAACGCACTCAGCGGAGAGAAGGGCGCCCGCAGGGGCAGTGGGCACAGAGGCGCGCCCCATAAGGTTGTGAAAGGTGGGGAGCCGAGCACCATGAGCTGTATGGAGGGCGCTGTCCTTGGGCCTACGGCCACCTGTGCACCTGCTACTACGTGAGATAAAATGATATTAAGGGGCAGGAGGAGCCCAAGGGTCTACTTGGGGAACTGAAAACATGACGATACCTGCAGTTTAAGATCTCTTAGTGCCTCTGGGATTGGAAAATGCAGATTTGGGAACATTACTAACACAGTGGGAAAACTATAAAATGTTAGATTTAATCTACCAACACCCTTTTCCTAACTTCCTTCCTTCCTCCCCTCCCCCCTCCTCTCCTTCCTCCCCCCCCTTCCCCAGGCTGCCTCAGACTTGCTATAAAGCCGAGGATGACTCTGACCCTCCCCCTCCTTTCTCTGCCTCCTGAGGGCTAGGATTAGGGATTACAGCATGTTCTATGACCATCTACCCAGTGTCCAGAGTTGTCTGTGGCAATGGGACAGTGGTCATGTGGAAACACTCCTCAACAGCGTTGGGAAGGGTGAGTATCCAACATCTGGTATTTCCTTCCGAATAGTTCTGAGGCCCTGGGTCCAGCTGCTGGCACTGCCGGGGGGGGGGGGGCAGCAAACCCGGGTCAGGGGCGTATAAATATTTGTGCTGCTGGTCTGAATTTTTCCACAGATATTTTTTGGGTAATTTTTAGGTGAAGTCCTATAGGGAAATTAAAGGTGAGAGGTGTCTGTGCTCTGGAGAAGCAGGACCATCTGGGAGAGGCTGCACCGAGATCTGCAGTGAGGAGCCTGTACTGACAGCTGAGTAAGGGAAGAGGGAACGGAGCCGGGGACAGGGAACACCCACAGGACCCTGTACACACAGCAGAGATCCTGAGGTCTGGGGACACCCACAGGACCCTTGTACACACAGCAGAGATATGTGCTCTGTTCTGTGGTTGCAGGGAGACAGGAGCAGCCAGGACTGTGGCAGTCGGGGCCGTACCTGAAGTTGTACCCTCTCTGCTGCAGCCGGAAGGAGTACTGGGGACAGCAGTCAGAGCCCCTGGTGTCCAGGTTGCAGTCCCAGTGGATGCTGATGCCCACAGCGCCACCCTGCACACAACACACTTCTGTTGCACTGGCACATGGGCTCGAGGCCCCAACCCTGAGCTGCAGGAACTTCGTCCCAAATGACTCACCAGCAATGCCAGGTCCTCAAAGTCCCCTCCAGCCATGGCCACAAGGTCCCCGATGCGGAACACTGGACAGTACGGGCTGGAATGAGGATCGTAGCGGCAATGCTTGAAATAGGTGCTGTCCCAGGTGTCTAAGGCGTTGGTTCTAGAAAGGAGAGTGACGGGGATCAGATGACCCAAGAGGCATGGGGCATCTGGGCTCAACCAAGACCTGCCCATGCTTACTTGGAGAAGTTGAACTTGCTGAAGGTGACAGTGTTTTTGATGAAAAGTGTGAAGTTCTGGGCCTGAATCAGCAGGGGTTTCCTGAGGACAGATGGTGTACCGGCAGCATTTTGCTTATCCTAGGGCCCGCCCTGCCCCGGGAGAGAAAGGAGACTCACCTGGGCACAGCACCATGCTCCACTGGGCACCAGCTCCAGATCTCACAGGTCCTGTGGGTTCCGTTGAACACCACACACTGACCCGTTTTTATACCTTGAAAACACAAAATGAGCTCCAAGGCCTCAAGTCTCCATGGGTCCTGAGGAGGGTGTGGGGCCCGGGGTTGTCGGCAGAGTGAGGTGGGGCACAGACAAGGACCGCGGGGCCTGCTTTGGGGACCACACACTATCCCCCTCCTCCCGATGTTCGCCCACAGTTACCGTGGCTGTGCGTTCCCGTCTCCCCTTCAGGGCAGTCCTTGTCTTCCCAGCAGTTAGCCAGAGGAACGGAAGGGTGCTGAGGTAAGAGAGACTCTGGTCACCAACAGCACAGACTACAGTGACAAGACCCCTGGGATTCCTCCCAGGATGCCCTGGGTTTGGAAGCACAGGGAAGGTACAAACTGTAAGCTGGGAAGAAAGAACCGTCAGCCTCCCGGGGAGACGGGGTTCCAAGGGCAGAACAAGACTCCCGCTCTCCTGACAACGCCGTCCCTGATGGTTCACTGAGGTCCAGCTCTGGGATAACAGAGCAGGGGGTGGTACTAAAGAACCACGGAAGGACAGACTAGTGATGCTCAATGTAAGGTAGGCGTAGCCATCAGAGAGCAGGGGCCTGTACAGGGAGGGAAGCCCCCATACCTGCTAGGGCCAGTCTTTTCTGCCAAACATGGACACTGTGTCTATGCAAGGCCAAAGAGTCATGGAGGTGCACTAGGAGCTAAAGGTAGGTTCCTGGGGGTCCCCAACCTAAGACAGGAAGGCAGCCTTGAGCTTCAGAACCCTTATGGGGATTCAGTTCATGAGGAACTCCAGGATGACCACAGTACCATGGAAGCAAGGATGGCTGAGGGACTGAAAAGCCAGAAGGAGACTTAGGACTTAGCAGAGGTCGGAGTACAGCCACTTTCTCTGCTTTGCGGTCCTAACCTGTGTCTGAATGTCTCCAGCTCCTTCAACCAGACTCCATGGTGAGATGTGAGTACCTCCAAACGGCAGCCCAGGTGATGAGAAGCTGAGGCTCTTTACCATGCACTCCCTCCAGCTACCTTCTGCTCATACATCAACTCCAGCTTCTTAGCAGGACTCAGAGGCTCCATGAGATCTTGGGCTGTCATTTTTGTGACCCAGCCCTAATCTATGCTCTAGCCACACTGAGCAGCAGGTATGCCCAGAGACACCTCACCCCCTCACATAGCCTGGGCCTCTGCCCTGGCATCCTGTTGCAGCCACACTGACCCAGATCACCAGCTCCTTTAAGATTTTGTCCATGTACTTCCCTAAGTCTCCCCACTGCAGCCTCTGCCTTGTGAGCATTTGTGGAACCTGCTGCCTTGGCTGGACCATGACTGCAACTTGAGACACAGGGAGCTGGAGTTCTGCCAGCCCAGCCCGGGGCCTCACCCATATGGGGGGAGGTGCTCAAGAAAGGTTTGCAGAGGGATATGACACTCTATTGAGCATGTGCTTGGAGGGACCAGGCCACTAATATTCCAAGAAGAGCTGGCAGGAACTCTGGTTGTCCTCAGGAAACTGGTCAGATCTGGTGAGTTACTTCCCAGTCATGGGAGGTTCACTGGAAGAGCCAGAAGCCCCAGACAAGGAAAGAGGGAAAGTCTTGTGCTTTCTAAGAAGTGGATGTGTTGGTGTGGTGAAGTTTTGGAGTTGTCTACGTGGTGACCTAGAATCAACAACCTCTAAGCATCAGGAGCTGAGGAGTTGTCCGGGTTCCCCAGGGAGAGTTGCCCTTTGCGTACAGACATCACCTCTTCTGTGGACAGGGGTAAACTATGGGCATATGACATCCCCTGAAACGGTAATGTCACCAAATACCAGAGCCTGGAGTCCAGCCGGGCAAAGGTTGGACTTGAATGTGGTGCTTATATATGGACTGGGTCACAACTTTCACACAAAAGCCATGGTTGTGAGAGCTAGTGTGCTCTTTGAAAGACTGGAACATTCACAAATGGAAAAGGTGAGATGGGGGGGTGGCTCCATTTCTGCAGATAAAGCAGAAGGCTCAAGCATGAACACAGCTGGGCTGAAAAACACCCAGAGATCATAAATTACCTGAACACAAAGGCAGAAGTGTGCTTGGTCCCCAGCTGAAAGCTGACTCAGGACACGTTAATAAGGCTGGCGAAGAGAAGGGAGGTGCCCCCCCAGCTTGCCCCCTGCTCTTAATGCCCACCTGAGTGTGTGCTTGGCTGTAACCCAGAGGTGGGACCAGCATGGGAAAGAGACTGGAAACTGCCTCCACTCAGAGGTCTGGTGCCGTAGCCCACACGTGGGGTACCTTTGAGCAAGTGACTGAAACTTGGGGAGCCCCAAACACCTGTTTGATGGGAATTACAGTATTTCTGGTGGAAAGAGATGTCAAGACTCGATGAAATGACTTCTAGAAAGACTTAGCGAATTGCCTGATAAAACACAAGCTCAGGCTGAGTCCTGGTCCACGTGCGAAGGGGAAAGGAGCCGGGGCTGGCGAGAGGAGCGGGGTGTGTCAGAGGCTCTGGACAGACTCACCTCCGCGCATCTGCCCTGGACTTGAGCTGGCGTCACGAGGAAATTGGTCACCAGGAAGAACACATTCTCTCCCTGGAAGGCAAGGCTGGAGGTAGGCCTCGGCCGGACTCCACAGCCGAGGGGCTAGAAGCTGATGGTCTGTTTGCTGTTTGCTGGGAACGAAATCCACGATGGCAGGCATGCTAGGCCAGCGCTCTACCTCTGGGAACGGACCTCACGATGGCAGGCATGCTAGGCCAGCGCTCTACCTCTAGGAACGGAACCCACGATCGCAGGCATGCTAGGCAAGCGCTCTACCGCTCAGGTATGGCTCAGCCTGGGAGCCTGGACTTCGTGGGACGCCTTCTTGGCTGGCGCCATCGAGTCACCAACCTTGTGCTGCAGAAAGCGATGCCCAGCAAGGCAGGTAAAGCGGGCTGTGTTTACGGCCTTTCCTGAGCCCAAGGAAGGGTCAAGCCGCCATCCATGTCTTCCAAACAAGTTTCTTTTCAAATTCTCATGCACTCAAGCAGAACTTCCCAGAACCTCCTGACCCGAGGCACTGAAGACAGACAATGTGGACAGGGGGGCACTGCTGCTCACACCGGAACAGCCGGCAAGGGAGCGCTTGCGCAGAAAGCTAGCGCCCCCTGGAGCCAGAAGATGGTCAAGGCGGGGTAGTCACCCACGCTCCTGTAAGTACCCCCACTTGTTCCCGGAACTAGCTTGGAATGAAATTGGCCCGTTGCTGGTGTGCTAGGTGAGGTATACAGACTTTTGTTTATGTCTCCTCAGGAAATGTCACGCAGCAGCTGGCAGTCGGAGCCAGACCAGCCGGGTGGAGGGAGAAGGGAAGAAGAGTGAGCGGGTGGGGGGGGGGCGTCAGATTGCACCCCGACAGGCAAAGACAGGAAAAGGGACCGTGCGTCAGCCACAAGACGGCAAACTCCCAGCTTCTTCCTCACCACACCTACCCAAGACGAAGGCCTGCTGAGCTTATTTTTTCCTGCCAGAGGGATGCCCTTCTGGATGAATGGTCTCGACCAGTTCCGTTCAAGGCTGGTCCTGAGCTTGTCTCAGCTTGCATGCACCTACGGGCCTATCAGCTCCTTCTTTTAAGTTGATCATCCAAAATCCAAAAACAGGGACCCGTCCTGCACCACCACAAACATGTAAGGCCAGCATCCCTCCAAGGGAGAATGGACTTTGGTTTCTAGATCCCCTTCCCTCTGCTGGGAAGCCTGACTCGGTGCGGGGTGTGCACATTCACTTTTAATAAGACTTATCTGCTGTGACTGTGACTTATTTTCTGCCTTCTAAATCTTTTGTTGAGCAGTTTTATTAATAATGTGGATGAAAGTATGTGTGCTGTCAGTGTGCCTGGTGCCCTCAGAGGACGGAAGAAGACACTGGAACTCCCCCGGGACAGGAGTGACTGAAGGCTGCGAGTGTTGGGAACAGAACCCAGCACCTCTGCAAGAGCAGCCAGTGCTCTTAACAGCTGAGCCACCTCTCCAACCTTTTGATTCCTTTAATTAATTTTAATCCTTTTGATTCTTTCATCATTGGAAAAAATGAACCTGATCCAAGATCCCTAATGGTAACAAGGGGACTTGAGAAAGTTCAGCCCCTGGACTCCTTCGCCCCTACCTTTCATTCCAAGCATAAATCTTGAGCCCAAGATACTTCAGGTATACCTTTGTGAGGGCGGTGGATGGGTAGGGTGCTTTTCTGTTCTGTTCTTGATGGCACTGGGAATTGAACCCAGTGAGTGATGCCTGCCAGGCATCACTCTGCCTCTGAGCTGTATCTCTAACCTTCCTTTAAAAGAAAGTTCCACAGGCACAGGCTTCCTGACTCGGGAAGCTACACACCCCTGAAAGCCGCTTGCTCAGATTGACTCCGCGCACGCGCGCTCTTCTGAGAGGCCCTTTCCCTTCCCTGAGCGCTTCTCCCACCCTCTGGTACCACAGGCATCCCGTGTCTCTCATGCGTAGCAGCTAGGAGGACACTGTCAGTGGCCGAAGGACACCAGCCTCCTGCAGTGGGGACCTACCTGTGATGGCTTCACGAAGTCAGCCACATCCCATAGCCGGTTCTCTAGTTGCTTAATCTGGGTTACGGAAACCCCTTTGAGTTTAGTGATGACAGAAATGTGAGGGTCCACGTCCCATTCCTGGTAGCCTTTTTTGGCCAAGAGGGCCCACCTAGGGAGAAGGTGATGGACAGTGTAATGTGAGGAGATGTGAGGCGTATAACTCTAGGCTGTCTTAGTATACTCCAGAGGCTCCTTAGATCAGCGTGGAGGGCCTCACCCCTCTGTCCATCTGCACCTCTTGCTCTAGACCCCTGAGCAGGTGGAGCCTCAGATGGAGCTGTCCACCATGGCCACTTTTCACATGCCAATGCCTCCCATACACTCAGCAAACCCAGCTCCCTCCTTCAAGACACTTCAGCCATGCAGCTAGTGGTCTCTCTGGGAGCCTCAGTGCTCGGTTGCTCACAGATGCCAAGATTTACTGCCTCCTGCCCCACCAGGGTGTCTCTGGGCAGGAGTACTGCAGATGTACACAGAGAGCAAGATGTAGCCGGGAGCAATGTCCCTTAGGTGAGCACATGGCTGCGGCTGTCTTCTGACTGGACTAAAATCCTCCTAACGACCACCTCTCACCACCCCCAATCCCACTCTCCCACCAGCTGGAATTCTAAAGAGCCAGCTTCTGGCCCTCAGCCGGCGAGGCCCACAGCAGTCTGTGCAGCTGGCCTGATAAGACGGCTCTTACCCTATCACGTAGACCACCACTCCCAGCTGCAGCAGCCTCTGAGAGACACCCACCCGGCAGTTTCTAGTCATCACATACTTCTCTGTCTTGTAATCCAGAAACCCCCAGCCCACAAGTGCTGCCGCCACGGCAGAAGCCATGTTCCCCGGTCCTGCTGGTCACTAGTGCGTGAGTCAGCAGGCTGCTTCAGCCGCAGCTGAACAGGAGGCAGAGCGGCCATGCATGGGATCCAGGCCAGTGTTAAAGGGACATCTCCCTTCAGCAGGATCTGGCTCCTGGCTCAGTCCCAAACATCCGCTGATCTAGGCCTCCCATCGCATCCAAAGTCCTTGGGTTGGACCCTATGCATATAGAGAGGAGTAATCCTGTCCCTGCCCATCCATGTCACTTCTTTATAGGGTGGGCAGTGACCAGTGTGAGGGGACAGAAGCCCAGAGGAGGACTCTGAGCCCAAACGTGCATATTCTCAAGTGCAACCGGTCAAGTTAGGTTTGAGATGTCCCCGCTGGAGCGGCAGCACAGCCAAGACTAGCTCTTGAGAGGAAACCGAGACCCGCAGGCAGGACAGCATAGTTGTGGCTTCAGAGATAACCTTCGCTAGACTCTAACAGGGTCCTTCGGTCTTCCCCGGAGTCTGGAGTCAGACTGGGAAAGTCCGTGAAGGAACATGGGGATGACCACCCCTCTGCATGGCAGCAGTAGGTGTGGTAGTCAGCCCTGGTGAAGAGCGTGCCAAGGTCGTGGTGCAGCCACAAACAACACCCGGTTCCCCGGGAGACCGCGGGGTGGGAGGGCAGCACCATTACTGGCCTCAGTGACCGCCTGCTGCCCGCAAATCAAATTCGATTGGTCAGTGAAGTCAGAGGGACCGCCCACATCCCTGGGAAGCCTCCAGGCAGTGAGCTGTGCGCGCTCAACCTCTGAGCCCCCCTGCTGAAGTTGAGGGTAAACATGAAGGGTCCCTGCAAGGAGTCTACGAAGGATGAAAATCAAGGGGGAGAAGCAGCAGCCACCGCGCGTCAGGCAGAGGCCCTGGAGGCCAAGAATTTGGGGACCGAAGATTCACACTTTGCGCTGGAAACAGAAGGTGCCTCATCCCCCGAGTGGGGTCCTGATTGGACTCCTCCTGCAGGTGGTGAGAGTCCGGCTGGCATGGGACCGCGCCCTTCGGTGGGGCTGCACCCCCATTATCAGCAGCAAGTCCCTTACCCTCCTGGAGGCACGAGGAGGCCCAGCGCTTAGCTCTGTCTTCATAATAACCTGTAAATGAAACACCCTGACAGTGGTGTTCCACCTGGAAGGGTTCGGGGCCGGGTGTTCTAACCTATAGGGAAAAACTTAGCTAATGGATGTATTGCATTTAGAACTGTTTAGAGTTATTTTAAAATTAATTTAGAATTATTAAACACCATAAGGTGTTTGTAGACATTATGACCTGTGGGCTGAGACTGTAGCTCAGTTGGTAGAGTGCTTGCCTAGCATGCTTGAAGCCTTGGGTTCAAGGCTCTCCTCTGCTAGCAAGTTGGAGACAACTTTGTGGGAGAAAATGTGATCTTGGACACGATGGGGTGGGGCCAGCATACCCTTTAGCTTTAGGCAAGTGCTCCCATTGGTTCTGACTAGCGCTGTGACAGAGAAAGGTCCTCATGCGGAATACGAGCTAGCTGCTGGCACTGGAGGAATCCTGGCAGGCAGGCAGGGGTGGGGCTGAGCGGATGGAGAGTGCCTCCTTTGTCCCTGTCTACTGTTAGGCACCCAGGGCCTTGGAGAACCCGTCCTGCCTACCCTCTATCTGGAGTCCTGCCACGCCCATAGTGTGGTGCCGGCTTCTTGTCTTCTGCGCCAAGGGAGCGCCTCCGAATTGAACCTTCGACACCGGGGCCTGGGGCCTCAGGTATCTGTCAGGGGACACTGGAACCAGGCTGGGCAGGAAGGATGTGGGAGACAGTGGCCGTCTTGAAGGGCTCCAGGAAATGAGATCTGATCGGCACTTAGAGGGAGAAGCAGATGCTCCCTGGAGAAGATGGGAGCTCTGGCCAGCTGCATCTGGGAAGGACAGACCCCTCGGGGCCCTGTGTGCCTCTGCCCCTTGTACCTCTCTGCTCTGTTCCAGGGGGCCTGGGCTCTGGCTTCCATCTTGACCTCTAATCTCTACATCAAGCGTCTGGATCTTCGGGACAATGGACTCTGTGGAGCCGGGGCAGAGGCTCTGGCCCGTGTCCTGTGTAAGAACAGCATTATCTCTGGTAGGTGGATGCTGAGTTTCTGAGTCTGAGCAGAGGCAGGCTTGGGGCCCCTTTCCTCGGGGAAGTGGCTCCCTCACTAGGCCTTCTCACTGCGGGTGTTGCTGGGGATGGGGGTCCTCATCACAGGGTGAGGCGTGTGGGGTGACGTTCTGGGAGTCTCTTCATTGGTGTAGCCAATGCTGAATGCTGCTCTCTGCCTGACCCATCTCACGGCTATCACTCCCCTGGTGAGCACCCCAGCTGCGCATAGGGTAGACTCCCAGTCCTGAGTGCAGGATGAGCGAGGCACAGAGAAGCAGTGTCTGGTCTCCATAGACTGAGAACTGGAAGGGCAAGGTGGGGGTTGGGTGGGGCTGCCTGCAGATGAAAGTCTGGCAGGGAAGCTGACCCAGGCAAGCAGCATGGCCATGGTTTCCTCGGTAAAATGACCACAGCAGCACCGCTTAGCTCTCTGGGCTGTGGCCGACATCAAAGGGTGACAGAAGGGGACCCAAGTGGACACTGACCTGTGTGCTACTCCCTAGAGTAGGACAGACAGGCTTCTGTGGGAGGTGATGTCGTTACAAGACAGCAACCATCAACAGGGTGCCTGGCCCACTCCCACGGCGTTCTTCACAGACAGGCAATCATGGCATGGGCAGACCAGAGACCCAAGGTGACCCCGCCAAGCTGCCACCATGCCACCCTAGATAATCAGATTGCGAAGCCCCTTATTTGGCCTCAGGCCTGGGGGTTTACGAGATGCAGGGAGTGCGAGAGGGTGGTGCCGGTTCCCACTGACCGAGCAGTGGCGCCGCCCCCAGATGTGGACCTGTCAGAGAACCAGATTGGAGCTGCGGGGCTCCAGGCCGTCTGTGCTGCCCTCGCCTCAAACCCCGCTGTGCAGAAGATGCGACTGGGAGGGAACGGGCTGGAGGAAACGGCCGCCCGGCACCTGGCCGCTCTCCTGCTGCTTCCCACGGGCCTCAAGTCCCTAGACCTCAGCTATAATCAGCTCAATGACCTGGCAGGTAACACTGGGTCTGGGCAGTCATGGGTCATGAGTGCCCACGGGTGGCAGGGGAGAGGCATGGGCAGGGCCACACCCAGCTTCTGCCAGAAATAGCCCTGTGCTGGTGTCTGTTCACCATCCCACTCCTGGTTGTTCTTCCCCTTCAACCACACAGAATTCTTAATTCCAGGCTGTGGGAATCTACCTACCAACAAAGCGAAGTTCCTGACTTCAAGAAACATACACTAACAAGACCATTCTCAGCAATTAGTGGCCTTCCAAAGAAACAACGTATGGTTCTAGAAAAGGATGGACCACCCACTATAGAGGGGTGGCTGATTAAACTGAACGTGTGTGGGGTGTGTAGGGTGGGAAGGAGTCAGCCATGGCAAGAGCATGTTGGTGAACTGTGAGCACGCACGCTTGCTTCCTAGATTGGTAGAGACTGGTGTGGTTGGGAGAGCGATCCAGGGATGAGTGACCAGGCTGTGGTTTGGAAAGCAAGCAGAGTCTGCGTGGCCTGCAGACCACAGCTGAAAGTATGAAGGTTTTGCCCAAGTGCTCTTGTAAAAGGCTTGCGATACAACTCAATGGTAGGGTGCTTGTCTCGTGCGTGTGAGATCTTGGGTTCAGTCACCAGTACTGTGGAGGTAAGGGATGCTGTGAAGGACAGGGATCGGCTACTTGACCCAGTCATGGTCTCACCGGGGCCTTTGCATGGGCCGTACGCTTTGCCAGGAATATGAGTACCCACCTATGCCATCTCCAAATGTGCCAATCAGTTACACAGACTGAAGCTAGGTATACCTATAGACTCGACTACTTGGAAGATCGGTTGAGCCTAGAAACTTGGGGGCAGCGTGGCTGCATGGAAGGGTCACCTGGGCCCTGCTTTAGGAGGTTCTGTCCCCTGGAATGGCTGAAGCAAATTCTTCTTTTTAGACATTTATGTAAATGTGTGTGAGTGTGTGTCGCACATGTGTGAGTGCCTGTGTAGTCTAGAAGAGGACATCCCACATCGGAAACTGTTGGGGTCCAGCCTCTTTAGTTTCCTTCCCAGGGGTCCAGAAGAGATGCTACTAACAGCAACAATAATCTGAGGGAAAAGAATCTAAATACACCGAGCTCTTTCATCCATCCACTTTATTCTTCTATGATAAAATTCTATCTACACAGCTTCAATTCTGTTCTCATGCTCAGCTCCTCTTTGTCCCTTCTCCTCTCCTCTCATTGTTCTGGTTCTATCTAAGCTCTTTCCATTTCACTCTCCTCTTCATCCTCTTTTCTCCGTCAATTTTTGTTCCTTCCTCCCCTACTCTTGTGATCGGCTCAGTAGACCTACAATCTGCAAAACTCTGCCCTGCTTTCTGGTCAGGTGGGGCCACTCTGCTCCCAGCTAGGAAACCTGCCTCATGGCTTCACTGTACTGAGTAATCACTCTGGAATGCCATTTGGGCTGTGAGAGAAAGGAGGGTCTGTGCTTCATTTGCAATAGAAACAAAGCTATGCACCTAATTTCTGCCGGTCTCTTAGGCCTAGGGGACAGGCAGTGTCTCCGTAAGGGTGTTTACCTTAATTCAGATCAGCGGTAGGTCTGAAAAGCTTATTCTGTCTGCTGTCTTAGCCTAGAATGCTTGAGAGGTATTTCAGATAAATTCATTGTGAGTATGAGAGCACACATGAAATTCACAGCAGGAAACAGCTGATATATTAAGAACCAAATAACACCAAATACTTCTTGAGATGTGGGTTCCTCTAGAAGAATTCCTTGACTTTTCCAAGTATAGCTTTACCCTATACAGCTGAATTTCTACTTCATATTCCTGTGGCTCATAGCAATCCCATCCTCTGCAGTAGGAGTTACAGATGGCTGTGAGCCACCCAATATCAGTGCTGGGAACTGAACTCAGGTCCTCTGGAAGAGCAGCTGGTTCACTTAGCTGCTCAGACACTTCTCCAGCACCTGACAGAGATTCTTAGACACCCATGTATATGCATTGTAGTGGACATTGTAGTGTTGTCTCAGGTCAATTGAATAATCAGGAGATCTGGAATTTCTGGTCTGTCCCAATTGAGTGGAGTGGCACTAACCTCAGCTCTGGAGTTTAACTGCTGAAGTCAATTGTTTTCTAAGAAAATTACTGTGGGAAGCCAGTGGAACTACAGGAGAGGCTCATCTCAGACTCTGACAAACTGTAGCAGTCTCTGCAACTCGAGAACTCAGGAGCCAGCTTGCTGTCATGTAACTAATACCTCCAATAACTGTCTCACAAAGGGAAGCAATGCATCTGAGTTTATAGTTTACTGTAACGAATACCTCCAATAACCATCTCACAAAGGGAAACAATGCATTTGAATTCATAGTTTGGAGATTCCAACCTTTGGTGGACTGGGCCTGTGGCTGAGCAAGCATTAGAAAAAAGTCACTCAACTCATGGTCTGAAAGAAAGAGGTAAAAGGAAGAGACTGGAGTCATACAGTTCCCTCAAGGGAACCCCAAGTGGCCTAAGACCTTTAGATAATGTCATCTGCCACATGCCAATCTTGGGGACCAAGCTTCTTAGAGTAGACTTTTTTATTTTGTGTGTATGAGTGTTTGCCTGCATGCATGTCTGTGTACTACATGTGTGAGTGCCCAGAGGACAGAAGACAGATAGCATCAGATCCATGAAATTGGAGTTATAGTCGCCTGTGGGCTGCTATGTGGGTGCTGGGAACCAATCTGGATCCTCTACCAGAGCAATCAGGGCTAAGTCATCTCTGCAGCCTGGGGGACCAGGCCTTTAAAGCAGCGAGGACCTTAGGGGTGGGTTATCATAGAAGCCATATACTACAGAGGACAAGTGACAAAGCGACATGAGGGCTGGGGAATCTGAAGCCCTATGAAGATACGCAGGGGGGATGGGAAGGGAGGAAGGGCAGAGTCAGTCTGTTTTGTTTCTCCAAAAGGGGACTGCAGGATGTGCAGGGGTGAAGGGCTTGAATCTCAGTCATGCCTGATCTATGACGTGGAGAGCCCGCCTGCAGGTCTGTGCCTCACAGGATGGTCGAGTCACAGAAGTAGAAGAGTGTGCCTCACCCTCCAGCTCTTCAGCAGGGACAGGAGGACACCTGCTCTCCTCTCCCAAATTTAGCAGTGTCCAGGAGAAGTGGGGGGATCCTGCATCTGAGAACCTGGAGGTATCAGATCCTGCCCTGGATGAGACAGTGCCCAGAACCTTAGCTGTGGCACAGGATACTCTCCAAAGTGCTAATGTACCTGCTGCTGCAGGTGCTAGCCAAGCAGGTGGCTGGGAGCACTCAGGCTTCACACACACACACACACACACACACACACACACACACACACACACACACACTCACTCACGAATGCACCATGTATTTTCTTGGTTTGATTTCTTGGTTTGATTTAGTTCACTTTGATTTGGTTTTTGAGACCAGGTCTCATTATGCAGCCAAGGGTGGCTTGGAATTCACTACAGTGTTCAGACTAGCCTTGAACTAACAATCTTCCTGCCTCAGTGTCCTCCATGCTGGGGTTATGGGAGTGGACCACCACACCTAGACCCTGTGAGCACTTCAAACCAGCTTTTGTTCTCCAGCTACCAAGATAATGAGAAGAGGCCAAATTTGGATCCTTGAGGGATTCCAGTCCAGGCACAGAGATCAACCAGGCAGGGTCGGGAGGCTGTAAGGGGTCACAGGCTAGAACAGTACGGGAAGGTGGAAGGACAGTGAACGTGGGCTCTGGGGGGCCCACGCAGCCTGGAGAGACAGGTGTGGTTTCCTGAGTCTGCATACCCAGGTAATGAGGCTGAGACGCGGTTGGCCAGGTGGATAAGGGGGTTCCATGGAAAACTGCAGTGGGACGCGGGTGGAGCTGGACTGTGGAGAACTGGCAGGGGTCACACCCATCAATGCTAACAGAATGGAGAGCTGGCTGCAGGGTGCCCTGCCCACTGGACATGCTAGGTATTGTCAGAGTTCCACCCACTTCCTTTTGCTTCTGTTCCTCCTCTTTTCCACCACAGCTAGCCAGACTTGGAGGGCTCTGTCTCCGCCGGTGCCCACCAGCCAATGGGAACCTTGCCGGAGTGCTCAGCCAGCCTCAGCTCTTACAGCAGCTCCTGCGAACCCAGATCAGTACTCAAGGACTCCCAAGTGCCTTACTTCCTACGTCATGCACCTGCTTTCTCCTGCCTCTCCTCTAGCTCCAGCACCAACCCAGCTTCACTTTGCATCTCTGTTGTCCATCAATTGTGCATACGTGTGGATTCCTCGATTCTAGGTTATCTGCTCTGTCCTTACTTCCAGACCCCACCAACACTACCACTGCCTCTCTACCCTTTTTGTCTGTAGATTAGAATAGTTTTGACTATTACTTTGACTATTACATTATTTTGACTTCATATCTTCCCAATTGCATGTGAGTCCTTGCTGGGCATGGTGGCTCTTGTCCGTGTTGTCAACACAATGGAGATGACAAGAAGATGATCTCGAGTTCAAGGCCAGTCTGGGTGACAGAGTGAGTTCTAGACCTGTCTGTGTTGTAGGACAAGACCCTGTTCCAGTGTACACACACACACACACACACACACACACACACACACACACACACACACGTTTCTTGCAGGTAATCCAGGCATACACTGAATTTTGTGACCCTCCTACCCAACAGAAGTTCTGACACATGGTGAGCATCAGGTCATTTTTCTGAACATAGCATTTTATTTTGCCATAAAAATCTCTTCGTGCTCCTCAGGAGAGATACTTGGACCTGCCTTGGCAGAAAACACCGGACTCACGGAGCTTAACCTCAGTTGGAATCACCTTCGAGGCCCGGGAGCCATTGCCTTTGCCAAGGGTCTGGAGGTATGAGACAGCGGCCCACTCAGTCCCCAGAGCCCGCCTGTCCTTCTTCGGGAAGCTGTCCCTGAGCCGTCCTCGACGATAGAGCTCTCCAGACATGAACTGCCGCCCCTTTCAGCACAACTTTCATGGTGACCTTGGATGACCTCTTTTCCCGCCCCCGTTAAATGACAGTGTACTGTACCGAGTCTCATGTCATTTCATGACTAGATAAATGTCAGCTGCCTCCTCCAGACATCAGCTGGCGGGGGACATCTGTGCAGTCTGGTGACATTATTAACACAGAGATGCTTTTCCTGGTGCCGGCACACCCTCCCAGTGCTTCCCTGAAAGTTCACAGACCCGGGAAACACATGTTTCAAGCCCTTCCAGGGTATTTTGAGCATCTTCATTGTCCACAGTGACAGTGACCTTGGAAATGACAGGCATGGCCATGCCCTCTCACAGGGCTGACTGCAGTTGGTGGGTGGGGGTAGTCCTGACCCAGAAATGGTCAGGTTAGAGCACTCAGCCTTCCCTGATCACAGTCTCTTGGGCAGGCTTCATACAGCACCCTGCCACCAGGTCACTGGGCCCATGCAGTTTCTCTGTGCCCCAGTTTACCTGCCTTGGGAATTTCCCTGTAGGTGTGGATTGATCATCTCTGAGAATCGTCCGTAGCTCTACCCATCATCCTTTGCTGCTCTTCAAGTTGTTTGGCCCTACTGGTTGGTGCTGCCTGAGAACTCACGCTAACTGTGTTCCAGGACCTCTGTCTTTCATCATTGCTCAGGCGCTCCTGGGCTCTGAGGCTGCAGCCCTGGAACTGAGGCTTTCTGCACCATCAGACGTGAACTCACGGCTCTGCTCTCTGTGTCCTAGGCAAATATATTCTTGAAAGTCCTAGACATCTCTCATAATGGCTTTGGAGACTCTGGAGCCTCTGCGGTAGGTGAGGCCCTCAAGGCCAACAACGTGTTGGAAGAACTAAACCTGAGGTGAGGAACAAGGGTGCTGCTCTCGGGGTCACACGGTGATCCAGATGCTGTTCCTGCTGCTCCTACTGTGTGGCTTGAGTCTCAGTCCTAGGCAGGCTCTGTCCTCCTTCAGGCTGCTGCTGCGGGGGTGGGGGGTGGCTAAGCTGGTGGAAGGCTTGGCCAGCGTGCCGGAAGGCTGTGGGTAAATCAGGAGTGGTGTCTTACAGATCACTTCCGTGGCTGTGAGGAAACACAGTGACGAAAAGCCACTTAGAGGAAGGTCTATCCAGCCTACAGTGCAGTTAGATTTCCGGGGACTCCCTCCCACGCGCGGTCAGAGCGGCGAGCAGAGCATTTCCCAGGCTGCTGCTCACCGCTGTCTTCACAGCTTCTCCCGTTTCACAGTTTAGCTGTGGTGCCACCCACATCCAGGTTCCCTCCTGCATCAAGTAACAAGACAACCCCCAAAGACATGCTGCAGGCCAACCTGATCTAGATAATTCCTACTCATTGAGACTCTCTTCCAGGTAATTCTAGATCATGCCAAACTGACAATAAAAACTGGCCAGCACACCCAGCCTTCGTTAACTTGACACAAACAGTTTAAGCCGTAATTTCCCATCCTTGGTCCCCCAAGGCCTCATGTTTATTTTACAATGTAAAATATAGTCCTTAAAAATTCCAACACTTGCCGGGCGGTGGTGGCGAACACCTTTAACCCCAGCACTTTGGAGGCAGAGCCAGGCAGATCTCTGTGAGTTCGAGGCCAGCCTGGGCTACAGAGCAAGATCCGGGACAAGCACCAAAAACTACACAGAGAAACCCTGTCTCAAAAAAAAAAAAAAAAAAAAAAATTCCAACACTTCAGGTTCCTGGAGGGAGGGCTCAGTGGCAAAGAGCATATGTTGCTCTTGCAGAGGACCCAGATTTGGTTCCCAGCACACACATGGTAGCTCACAATAATCCATAATTCTAGTTCCAGAGGATCTGATGCCCTCTTCTGATCTCCATGGGCACTAGGCATTCAAGTGGTGTGTATATATATATATATATATATATATATATATATATATATATATATATGCAGGCAAAATGCTCATATACATAGTTTTTAAAAATTCCAACAATTTAAACATATAAGATCTCTTTGAAAGTCCAAAGTCTCAGCCAGGTGGTTGTAGCACACGCTTTTAACCCCAGTACTCAGGAGGCAGAGGCAGGCAGATCTCTGAGTTTGAAGCCAACCTGGTCTACAAAGTGAGTTTTAGGACAGCCAAAGCTACAGAGAGAAATCCTGTCTCAAAAACAAAACAAAAAATAACTAACAAAAACAAACAAAACACTGAAACAAACAAAAAAGTCCAAAGTCTCCTTACAAACACAGTCTCTTGGATATTCAAAACATGGACTGCTCTTTCCGAGGACCCAGGTTTGGTTCTCAGCACGCGCATCAGATGGCTCACGACTGTCTACAACTCCAGCTTCAGGGGGACCCGGTGGGTGGCTTCTTTCTGAACTCCTCAGGTACTTGCACTCAAACGTAATTTTAAAGAAGACTTTAAAAGTCCGGAGTCTGTTACTAGAGTCTTATCAAATCAAAAGCAGGCTACATATGTAAACATTCTTATTCCAAGTGGGAAGTGCTGGGGACGTAGAGACAATCACACCTGAGCAAAAGTAAAATGTGGCCGGGCGGTGGTGGCGCACGCCTCTAATCCCAGCACTCGGGAGGCAGAGCCAGGCGGATCTCTGTGAGTTCGAGGCCAGCCTGGGCTACCAAGTGAGTTCCAGGAAAGGCGCAAAACTACACAGAGAAACCCTGTCTCTGGAAAAAAAAAAAAGTAAAATGTGGCAGTGTGACTCCAACCTGCAGCCATGTCCGCCATCCGAGACACGTCTCCAGGCCCCATCTTTACACCCCACCACGTGAAGTACGCAGCTGTCCTAGGCTCTACAGCACACCTGAGTCTTGGACATCCCAGTCCTGACATTCCAAATAGCTGGTGTCTCCATGGCAACCGAGGCCTCCCTTCATCAGAGGCGCCTCCCCTCACATGACCAGGAGCGTGCCTCAGCTGCTCTCCATGGCCTCCTCAACCATCCATCCATCGTCGTCCAGGCTTTCAGAGCAGTTCTTCGCGGGCTCCACTTGGGACACTGCCAGGTTCTGCCGGCTTCATCCACATGAGATGTAGTCTGGTCTCCTTGGATTAGCTCCGGGTGCCGACCCTGGGGGACACTTCCCTTTTGTCCCTGAGATGCATAGGTCTCACCTCAGTGGTGCTGATCTATTATAATCGCAGCTGATTCTTCAGCTCCAGCTGATCAGCACACACGGGTTTTCAGCCAAAATAGTCCAATTAATGATAAAGTCTTTGCTCCTTTCTGTGATGTGATCTGGGGCTTCTCTGCTGCTGGCGCTTCAGCATTTCTGTCTTTCAAGCACCCTCAGGAACTATCTGGAAAGCTCTGGCCATAGCACTCAATGGCTTTTCCAGTCTGAAACTGCAATGTTTTCTATACCTGTCCACTAGCACTTAGGAAGTAGAGGCAGGAAAAATAAAGAGTTCAAGGTCATCCTCAGCTACAGAAGAGTTACAGCCTCAACTGGAATGCATACGGCTGTCTTATATTTCTTTTTCTCTTGAGACAGGATTTCTCCACGTAGCCCTGGCTATCCTAGAACTCTCTGTCTCTCTGTAGACCAGGCTGGCCTTGAATTCAGAGATCCACCTGCCTCTGCCTCCCAAGTGCTGGGATTAAAGGCCAGTGCCGCCGCCACCACCACCCAGCAGACTCTATCTTAAGTGGGGGAAAAAGAAGAGGAGGAAGTCAGCATTAGGTATGCAGGCGTGGCTTCAGAGACGGGCGATTTGGAGGGGAGGAAGGAGCAGGCTCCAGAGCAGACGCTGTTGTGGTAATGGGTATGTGTTGCCAGTGGGCACAAGACACACGGGAGCATCTTCCAAGCTTAAAGGAGCCGGCACCCCCTCATCTCCACGGTGGGGCGCACTTCAAGTGTGCCTGCCACCCATGAGGCAGCAGCATACCCGTGTTTTAGACATTGGCTGGGGCCTGGGCATGAGTGGAGGCTGTGCTGAGAAGCCCCATCTGCCAGACGCAACTGCGGACCGAGCCCTGCAAACTGGAGAGCTGTAATACAGACGTCATTTTCTTAGTAACATTGTTAGTGGATTAGATGTGACGGGTCCATACATGCCTGCAGAGAGTGTGCTGACCCGGTTAGCCTCCATTTATTTATTTGTTTTCACTTTTCTCCTCTTCATATGCTTCCTGATCTCTGATAACTACTAGTATATTTTCCAGGCTGTTGTTAGTGTTTGTGTAGGAGAGAAAGCTTGTTCTCGGGCATTCTGTCTGGTTTATTTCACCTAACATAATCCCTCCTGTTCCGCCCATTTGCTTCAAATGACACGGTGCTTCTTTCTATTGTCGATACACACCGCATTTGACCTATCCATCCATGTATCAGCGGGTACCTAGGCTGATTAACTATGATCCGTATGTCTCTCTTGTTGCAGAAACAACCGAATCTCCATGACAGGAGCCCTGAGCCTGGGACTGGGTCTGCAAGTCAACCAGACACTGCGGATTCTTATTGTAAGTTCGAGCCTGGTTGGGGAGGCTCCAGCATGGACTGGTCCTGTGTGGGTCTCTTCAGCCCTTTCTCCCGCCAGCCCCAGACAGCGCATGGGCATCTCATCATCTTAGCTCCTGTGACCACTTCCCACCTCTGACTCTTCCTCTCCACCTTTTCCCACTGTGGGAGAGCAGCCAGCGCATCCCCCAGTTTCCTTCTGTCTTCTCCCCTGGACTTCCGCCGTCCCCGGGGTCAACTCAGGGGTACTGACTGGCCCCATTTTAGACACGCCTGAGGTTTTTTGTGTCCAGGGGGTCCTTTCCTCAGGTTTGCAGGTGAGGGGGGCGGGGCCACGAGACGGGGTGCCAGCAAAGGCAGAGGGGAAGGAGCCAGTGAGGTGAGCAGGTCTCAGCTGTACCAACACAGCACAGGGGAGGGGGTTGGGAGTGCGGGTGTATCTCCAGCTTGGGGGACGGGGGGGGGGGGGGGGGAGTGCACCTGGCTCTGCCTGGCCCTTAGCTTCCCACTCATCAGCAATCCCACCTCCGGTGACAGAGGAACCAAGACCTATTCAAGCTTGAGTCCACTTATCTCCAAGTCACAGTGAGTCTTGGAATCCCACCTGGATGAACTACCTGCTTCTTAGGGGACTGCACACACACACACACACACACACACACACACACACACACACACACGCAGCTCACCTTCTCACCTCCACACCTGCAGAGCTCCCTGCTGGGTCCTCCCTCTCCTTTGCTTCTGCCTGGGCTCTATTGACCTGGTTCACCGGCCCTTACAACACCTGGTGGTTTTCTCAGTCAGAAACGTGCCCTGCTATGAACCTTCTTCTCACCGTCGTTGTCTTGTTAGATTTGGTTTGGTTTGGTTTTTCTTTGAGACAAGATTTCTCTGTGTAGTTTTGGTGCCTGTCCTGGATCTCGCTCTGTAGACCAGGCTGGCCTCGAACTCACAGAGATCCTCCTGGCTCTGCCTCCCGAGTGCTGGGATTAATGACGTGCGCCACCACTGCCCAGCTTGTTTTTGTTTTTTATGTGTGTGTGTGCCTGGGTGTATAGATGTAGCAGGGCACCAGATCCCTGGAACTAGAGTGACAGGCAGTTGTGAACCGCCCATGTGGGTGTTGGGTACTGAAACTGGATCCTCTGCAAGGGAAGCAAGCGTCCTAACCGCTGGGCCACCTCTCCAGCACTTTCGTTTTTTTGTGTTTTGTTTTAAAAATTTTAAGATTTATTTATATTTGAGTGTTTGCATGTATGTCTGTGTACCACATGCCTGCCTGGTGCCTTCGGGAGCCAGAAGAGGATGTCAGATCCCCTGAGACCAGTGTTGCAGACAGATGAGAGCCACTATGTGGGTGCTGGGAATTGAACTCAGGTCCTCTGGAAAAGAAGCCAGTGTTCTTAGCCATTGAGCTCTCTTTCTAGCCCCTAGTGGGCTCTTACCTTGGTAAATAGTCTTGAACTGCTAATCCTCCTGCTTTCACCTCCTGAGTACTGAGACTATGGGCATGGGTCCTCATAAGAGGCTCTAGTATTCAAGTGTGTTCATCCTTCTCAGATCTCCAAGAACCCCATTCGAAGTGAAGGATATGTCAGCCTCCTTAAGTCCGTCCGGAACAACAGATCGTCTGCCCTGGAACTACTGGACCTCTCTGTAAGAGCTTCTGAGCCTCATCTGTGATCTGCCAGGAGCTCTGTGACATCTCCATCTTAGAGGGATGATGTGGGAGTCAGCTCTCTCTCTCTCTCTCTCTCTCTCTCTCTCTCTCTCTCTCTCTCTCTCTTTCTCTCTCTCTCTTTCTTTTTTTTAGACGAGGTTTTTCTGTAGTTTTCTGTAGCTTTTCAGCTTCCTGAAACTCAGGCTGGCCTCGGACTCCTTAGTGCTGGGATCAAAGATGTGTGCCACCACCGCCTGGCGGAAGTCAGCTCTCTTATCCCAGGCAGATACACTGCCTGGTAGACTTGGCATTTCAATCCCAGACTGTGGGCCATAAAGCCACTCCAACTCTGTGTCATTGTATGTTGGAAGTATATAATTTAAAATTTTGTGTTACATGGGGCTACAAATAAGAGAGTGCCTTGAGTCTCTGAAAGACTTGGACTTTTAAACAGTCTTATTTTATTTTATTTATTTTATTTTATTTTATTTTATTTTATTTTATTTTATTTTGAGATGGAATATCTCTATGTAGCCCTGGCTGTCCTGGAAGTTGGTACATAGACCAGGCTAATCTTATATACTTGTGTGTATATTCACAGAGCTCTGTCTGCCTCTGCCTCCGAGTCCTGGGGTTAGAGGCATGCTACCACACCTGTTTTTTGTTTGTTTGTTTGTTTTTGTTTTTGTTCTTTCGAGACAGGGTTTCTCTGTGTAGCTTTGTGCCTTTCCTGGAACTCACTCTGTAGACCAAGCTGGCCTTGAACTTACAGAGATCTGCCTGGCTATGCCTCCCAAGTGCTGGGATTAAAGGCGTGCACCGCCGCCACCGCTGCCCGGCCCACGCCTGGTTTTTAAACAGTCTTTTTTAAAATTAATTTATTTATTTATTATTTAATGCCGAATGCTGTTTATTGAAGGAGGGAAGAGGTCTTAAATACAGGCTTACAGCACAATGGAAGAACCCCGGAGGGCAGAAGTTTGCTACCGATGTTTTACAATCTTGCATTTAAGCTGCTAATGCCCATTATGCAGGATACACAGACAAGGAACTTCTCTTAAGCACTTAGGAGGGTGGAACTCCGCAGGGAATTAGCATAGGGAGGATATCAAGGTCAAGGTCAGCAAGCAAGGCAACAGTTACCCAAAATGAGGGTTAGGACCCTACAGGTCCCCCTTTTACTAAAAAATGAGCTCTGACTTAGGTTGCATGGGACGTCAGCAGGTCACCTTACCTGTTATGGAGATGCCTGTCCAGGCCACACAGACACTCTGTCTTAGGTTGGTGAGTGCCCCCCAGGTATTACCCGTCTCTGAATACTCATTATCATACCGGCTCAATCTTGTGTGAGCTGCAGAGTTAACTGCTGCCAAAGATCTCAAAGTGGTGCTGGGCTTGCAATCTGTGTGTTTGACACAGAAAAGACCAACAGAGGTCCTAACCCACCCATAGCCAGTAGGATAAAGGCAACTGAGCCATTCCCTTCCTTATCAAGCCTTACTGCAAATTGGAGTCCTTGTAAGATGATATCCCAAAAGCAAATGGAACTTGAGTTTATAATTTTTTTAAAGATTTATTTATTTATTATGTATACAGAGGAGGGCACCAGATCTGATTACGGATGGTTGTGAGCCACCATGTGGTTGCTGGGAATTAAACTCAGAACCTCTGGAAGAGCAGTCAGTGCTCTTAACCTCTGAACCATCTCTCCAGCCCGAGTTTATAAATTTATAATTTTCAAAGCCAATCGAAATGTATATAACTATTGAATTAAATTTATCATGCCCAATAGAATGAAAGACTAACTAACTGTGGTAGCTACTTTTGCTGCCAGGGTCTCCACTGTGCTAGCTGTAGTAAGCATTATGAAATGGTAATCCCAGAAACAGCAGCGGTGGCCGCCACTGCTGTAACATCAACAACAGCAGCAGCAATGTCAAATTCTCTTCTGGAGTGTGTGGGCATCCATTGGCATGGAGACAACTCCAGGAACACGAAATGCGAAGGCCCATAAACAGTCTTGAGACTGAAAGACTGTGGGAACTTTTGAAGTTGGACTAAATGCATTTCACATTATGATATGGCCACAAACCTATGAGGTCCAGGAAGTGGAATGTGGTGGTTTGAATAAGAATGGTCCCCATACCCTCATATGTTTGAATGCTCAGTCCCCAGCTGGTGGAACTGTTTGGGAAGGATGAGGAGGTGTGGCTGAGGTGTGTCATTGGGGGTGGGCTTTGAGGTTTCAGAAACCCACAGCATTCTCAGCATGCTGTCTCTGTCCCTGTCTCATGCTTGTGGATCATATATATGTACACTCTTAGCTACTGCTCAGTGCCATGCCTGCCTGCCACCATGCTCCCCACCTGATGGTCATGGACTCTAACCAGTACTTGGTGGGGTGTGTGCAATTGGGCAGTTCAGAAGTTCAAGGCTGGCATCAAGTACACAGTGAGCTTCAGGCCAGACTGTACTACATGAGACCTTGTCTCAAAACATAAACAAACAAACAAATAAAAAACAACAACAAAAACTGGATTGAAAGCTGCACATAGATTTAACATAACTATCAAATACTCAGGTAACTGAGCCAGATCAAGAAATAGAACACACATGTCTTAGCTACTTTCCCACTTCTTACAAAACACCATGACTAAGGCAACTTATAAAAGAAAACATTTAATTTTGGACTCATGGATTTAGAGAGTGAATCCATGACCATTGTCTTAGTTAGGGTTTCTATTGCTGTGAAGAGACACCATGACCACAGCAACTGTTATAAGGAAAACATTTGATTGCGGTAGCAGCTTACAGTTTCAGCGGTTCAGTCCATTATCATCACCATGGAGAGCATGGTGGTGTGCAGGCAGACATGGTGCTGGCTACATCCTACAGGCAAGAGAGGTCGCCTGAGACACTGGGAGGTGTCCTGAGTGTAGGAAATCTCAAAGCCTGCCCCCACAGTGACACACTTCCTCCAACAAGGCCATACCCACTCCAACAAAGCCACACCTCCTAATAGTGCCATTCCCTGTGAGATTATTCAAGTTACATTCAAACTACTACAGCCATCATGGTAGGAGCACAGCATCAGGCAGGTAGGCATGGCACCAGAGCAGTTGCTGAGAGCTCACCTCCTTATCTACAAGTGTGAGGCAGGAAGACCTAACCTGGAATGGTGTGGGATTTTGAAAACTCAAGCTACACCTGGGCCCCTGCCACCCCCAGTGACACACCTCCTATAACAACAACACTTCCTAATCCTTCCTCAAACAGGTCAACCAACTGGGCATCTCATATTCAAATATGTGAGCCTATGAGGGTCATTCTTATTCAAACGACCACAGGGACCCTTCTAGCTCCTTTACTAAAGGCCTCCTTGAGTTCCCTTACTTTCCTGCTTTAATAGTACTGGGGGGGGTCATGAGATTATGGAGGAGGGGTCATGAGATCACAGGGAGGGGTCATGAGATCATGGGGAAGGGGTCATGAGATCGTGGTAGTCCACAAGAGAGAAAAATGCCCAAAAGAACTCTTCGACCTGGGTATGCAAATGAGAATAATCAAATCCTCAGAAAGTGCTAATAACTGTCTCCTAATGGCTCTTCTTAGGATGTCCAAGTGAACAGAGAGTGTGATGACCTCGCTAGCTCAGTGAACGTAATTCTTCCAGGACTTTGTATAAAGAATAACACTTCCAGAAGAAAAGACTATTCACCAGCCTCCACGCCATCCCAGCCAGCATCTGCCCCGAGTGGCTCTGGTCTCATCTCTAGTATGCCACTCTGATGTCTACACTGATGCCCATTCAACATGGCATCTGCCTTAATCTGGGCTTCATTTGCTATGGCTCATTCATTCAACCAAAAAACCTCCCATGACCAACACAGACACAAGGACAATGACATCCCTGTCATCTAGGTGTTCATGTTCTGGTGACCCTGTTAGACAAAATATAAGGAGAGATGGAACTCTCAAGCTCTTGAGAGAAGGCAAACAGTCACAACCCACTGGAAGGCAACATTCCATTACTAATGTTCCAAACTATAAAATCACCCATGTGCTTCAGTCTAGCTGACAGACTAATCTGCTCTACAGAAATAACCAGAGCTGCAGAGAAAAACGCTGCTGACTGCCGGGAATGTAACTCAATAGAGTGCTTGCTTAGCATACAGAAAGCCCTGGGTTTGAGTCCATGGCACCAGATAAAGAAGCACAATTATCTGTGTACTCCAGAAGTGTTCTCCAGAAGTGTAGGCAGGAGAAACAGAAGTTCCAGGCCATCTTCCACAACATAGTCCAGTTTGAGGTCAGCCTGGGCTACATAAGACCCTGTCTCAAAAAGGAAAAATAAAAAAGGTATCTATAGAGCTGGTAGCACATGCCTGTGATTCTGGCCCTTGGAAAACTGAGTCAGAGCATAGTGACTTAAGACCAGACTGGGATACACAGCATAAACCTGCATAAAAGAAACACTCATGTCTGAAGACATTCACTAAAGCCAGCTATTTGTAATGATGAAAACTGGAAACAAGCGAAATGCCCAATAACTAAGATTTGGAACTCTGCTAATGTTCAGAGCCAGTAATCCAAGAACAGGACAATTCATGATGATAAACATAATTAATGTTGTGCAGGAATATCAGAATCATGTGGTTTTCTGGTAGTTCCCTAAAAGGTTCATCAGAATTACCATGTATTAAAATATGAATGTTTTCAAGAGAAATGATAACACATCACACAAAAACCTGTGAGTGGAAGCCAGGGCGGTAGCTCAGAAGGTAAAGGTTCTTGCTGCTAAGTGATGAGCAGAGCTTGCTCTCCAGACCCCACATGGTGGAAGGAAAGAATGGGTCCCCACAAGTTGTCCTCTGACCTCCACACATGTGTGGTGACAATGTGCCCCTCTGCACACAGTAATAAATAAATGTGATGACATCATTCACAATATCCAGAATGTCCAAAAGATAGCAATGGATAAATACAATTGGTATATACACACAGTGGAATACTATTTGACCACAACAGAATAAACTTTTGGGGTGATTAATGTTATAAAGTTGACTATGGGTGATTGTTATACAACTGTGAATATCGTAGAAGTCATTCTAGTCAATGCATCGCTTTGAAAGAATGAGTAAGTTACATCACAATAAAGTTGCTTTTGAAGGAAAACAGTCCCTACATGGGTGGAACTTTAAACATGCTGTGAGATGTTAGTCAAAGATCATGTATTGTATGATTCTCTTCCTGTGAAATGTCCAGGTTATACCAATCCACACACATGGTAGACTCTAGGGTATGGAGAATCCAGGACTGACAGCTACTCTACCCTGGGGTATGGAGGATCCAGGACTGACAGCTGCTATACTCTAGGGTATGGAGAATCCAGGACTGAGAGCTATAGGATATGGGTTTCTGTTTGTTACTTTTTTATTGATGTGATAAATCACCATGAACAAGGCAACATATAAAAGAAACTGTTTGGGGCTGGAGAGATGGCTCAGCAGCTTAGAGCACTGAATACTCTTCCAGAAGACGAGGGTTCAATTCCCAGCACCCACGTGGCAGTTTACAACTATCTCTTAACTCCAGTCCCAGGGGACCCAACACCCTCTTCTGGCCCCCAAGGGGCACTGCATGCATGTGGTACATAGGCATACAGGCAGGCAAAAATACCTACACACATAAAAAATTAAAAAGTAATGAAAATAAAGAAAAGCATTTAATTTGGTTTACGGTTTCAGAGGGTTGGAGTCCATGATGAGTGAATGAAGGAAAGCTGAAAGTTCACATCTTGATCCACAACCACAGGCAGAGACAGCACTAGGATTTGTAGTCTTCTGAAACCTCAAAGCCTACCCCAGTGACACACCTGCCCCAAGGCCACAGGTCCTAATCCTTCCTGTGTTAGGGTTCTCTAAAGGAACTGAAATATATATATGAGGTTATTTACAGTAGCTTACAGGATACGGTCCAAATAGTCCAACCAAGTCTGATGGAAAGGCCAAAGGGGACTGAGACTAGACGTCTCAGCAGTTCTGTCTGCGGCTGGAGTCCCAGAGGAGTCCTAGACAACTGCCATCTTCAATCTACATTAGAATCAGTTCTAACACTAGCAAAGGAACGCCTCAGGAATGAGTGAGTGAGGTCAAGCAGGCAAAAAAGCAAATACTTCCTTCTTCCCAGTCCTTTTCTGTGGGGTGCTCTACATTTACAGTAGTTCTTCCAATCTCAATTGATCCAAGGGTGAGTCTTCCCACCTCAAATGATCCAGTCAAGGAAAACTCCCTTATAGGTGTGCCCAACTGCTTGAATTTTAGTTGATTCCAGATGTAGTCAAGATGGCAACCAAGATTAGCCATTACAAGTCTACTCCTTGTCAACACACACTCATATCTCCTGTGTCATACTCAATTTCCAAATGAAAACATAAATATGCCAAACATAACTTTCCATGTATAGCTACAAATGCATTATATATTTTAGAATAGGTGGCAATGTTCCTTGAGGGACAGTCTCTTAGTGTTTTATAACAAATATGATAGCCACTGATATTATCTCAATTGATGTTACATTACATGATAAAGAAATCAAGGAAAGAAGACACAAATATCCATACAAACACATACTTAACAAAATATGACAGAAATACTCATGTAAGTTTTAATTTGTCTCTGCAAATGGTCACGTGGCCTTAGCTGGTATTTCTAACTACCTTCCTCCACTACCCATTCTGCACTTCCTCCATCCTCAGCAGGTCTTGACTTTTCCTAGAGGAAACCACACCTTCCTTCCTGAAGGGTCTGTGCCCTTTGTCATCCTTCCTGGATCAGGCTGTTGTCGTTTCCCATTGACTTTAATCACAGGACTTGGTGGCACCAAGAGACCCTAAAGGATCTCTGCACTGCAGACATCATCTGTCCTCCTCCACTGGGAGAAACAATCCAATTTCCCCTTGGTAATCTGGATCAGTCACCCCTCTTAAATTGGTGTGTCTTTCCTAGTCTGTTGGCTTAAGGGCATCAGAAGCCCACAGTGGCCAGGGACGTCAGCTTCCAACCCAGTGGAATGTTTGCTGTGTCTCCTGACAGGAGACCTTCTCCATCTAGAACCTAAACTTCTAGGCCAGCAGAACTTAAGGTTGCAGGAACAGGAAGCAAAAAATGTTTCTAGTTCCTAAGGGTGATAGTGAGTGGAACCATTTTCTCTTCCACCCCTTGACTCCTGGACCTGTGGATCTTGGCTAGGGGAGAAACTGTACCATATATTGGATGCTGATTCAAAGCATATAGTGCCTTAAGGAGAGCCTGCCCCAACTCTCCAGGGTGCTGCCACCTAATTGGTGCTGTAGTTACGTCTTTAAAAGGTCCTTCCAGCTTTCTGTCAGGCCAGAGGCTTCAGGATGGTGGGGATGTGGTAAGACCACTGGATTCCAGGAGCTGTGAAGTGAGCTCATTGGTCAGAAGCAATGCTGTGTGGAATCATGTCTATGAATAAGACATTCTACAAGCACTGCTGCCCTGAGGACCAGCCTCCCACAGTGCAGGGCTGATAGGGATCCAGCGGGTCGGTGAGCTAAGGCTTTTTTATCTGAGGGGTAAGGGGAAAGACACACACTCTTTATGGTTTCCTTCTGACTTCATCTTTATTCTTCTTCCTCTTATTTTTCCTCTACATTTTTCTTGGTGTTTCCTTCTCTCATTCTTGATGTCTTCCTTCTAACTCACTTTATTTTTCCCTTACACCTTATATACCGCAGTAGAATCTTTGAAGCAATATAAAAATTATAATGTGGTTACATTCTATTTTTCAAATGAATGATTACAATGGATACAAGTAAAAACAAGCATGTTTTCCATGTCCCTTACATGATTAAACATTTTAGGTATTACAGGTGAAAAACAAGTTGTCCCAAGAACCCACATACATTCATGTACAAGCAACTTGTTATAGATTAACAGAGTGTGAGCAAGCAAGGCATTTTTCTCAGCCAGTTCTTTTGCTGGTAGGCTGCATTTTGCAGTTACAAAGAAAGGACAAATAAAATAATCATTTTATTATTTATCTCAAAAGGCAATCTTATAAGAAATCTTTGAAGAATCACAAATCTAAACTTTTATATATAAAAAACAGTCAGTCAGCTCTACTTTAAATCTTTAGGGTACACACCCACTCATTAACAGTTTTTATGATCAGGAGGCTGAGAGTAGAAATGGGTAGAAGGAATTGACATCATCCCATCCCAACAAGAAAGGCGCATCAGCTAATAATAATTGGACTGCTTTGTTTTTGATCCCTGACCTTAATGAGTCCCTCACCCAGCTACATGTCTTTCTAAAACTTTAGATTGTCTTCTTGGGTTTTTCACCTCAAAGCTATTTGGCAAAAACATATTAGTCTAACCTTAAGTTATCTTCAAAGCTTTGTTTCAGCTATGATGCCCTCTGAAACCTGTGAACACATCTCCCAACATTAAGATTAAAATAATTTAAGTTGGCTGGGCTTCTGGGATTCAGTTGTTTTTCTTTTTTGGTTTTAGTTTTTCAAGACAGGGTTTCTCCATGAATTTTCGGTGCCTATCCTGGATCCCGCTCTGTAGACCAGGCTGGCCTCAAACTCACAGAGGATCTGCCTGGCTCTGCCTCCCAGAGTGCTGGGATTAAAGGCATGCATCACCGCTGCCTGGCCTCAAAATCCTATTTTAACTGACACTATTATTGTATAAAAGCATTGCTTCAGCTAAACATTACAGCTTATGAGGAAATCATCTTCATAATAATCCACAGGTAAAAATTCCCAGTAGAATGGGTTATTTTCCAAGAGACGATCATATTGCATTAAGGACAGTGGGGACTCGCCCCACACCCATTCACACCATGCCAGATACCAGAGAAAAATGGCAGCAGCAAACCTGCACAGACACAGCAGTAGCCAGAGACCTCCTGGGGCCGAGGCTCTCGGAGCCTTGCTTATCCAAGATTCACCGATCAGGGGTTTGTCTCCTGGAGGGCCGACCCCCTGAAACCAATTGCCCTCGCTGCTCCTCTGATATGGCCACCGGCACATGGGTGGTGATTTGGCAGAAGCATTATGTAGAAAGGCAAATCCATAACCAGAACAAGTGTCTGCTCCAGTAAGGACAAAGCGTTGCCCTTCCCACAAAGGAAGTGGTCCAATGCAGTCTGCCACAGACTGCTGGCAGGTCACTCTGGGGAATGGCGCCATATTAAGGACTGTGTTGATCTCAGCGGCAGATCAGTCAGATTGGTTTTGCTGAGTGGAAGTCCATGTTGTTGAGTCCCTGAATAACCCCATCTCTGCCACCATGGCCACTTTGTTCACGGGCCCATTGGTCAGTGACAGGGATGGCTGGGGAAAGAAGCTGACTGTCCACAGAAGGGGTCGTCCCACCTACTTGATTATTGAACTCCTCCTCAGCTGAAGTCACTTTTTGATGAGCATTTACATGGGACACAGTATCTTCACATACTTCACCCCTTTAGACAGGATCTAGCCACATACTTCTCCAAAAATCTTCCTCACCAATTTTCCAATCATGCTCTTTCCAAGCCCCTGACCATCCAGCCAATCTATTGGCTAAAATCCGTGAATCAGTGAATAATCACATATCTGACTATTTCTCCTTCCAAACAAAATGTATGACCATGTGTACTGCCTGAAGTTCTGCCTGCTGTGAAGATTTCCCTTTGCCAGTGTCTTTCAGGGTTGTCTCAGAAAGGGGCTGTAATGCTGCAGCTGTCCACTTCTGGGTAGTGCCTGCATGATGTACAGAACCATCAGTAAACCAGGCCCTAGTCTTCTCTTCCTCAGTGAACTAATCATAGGGCACACCCCATGAGGCTACAGGTGCATGCTTGGAAGCAGATGGCCATTGTAACAAGAGTAAAAACCAGAGGCATTTGGGCAACTGTAGTTTGGAAGTTTTCCTGTGTCCCAGCTGGCCAGTGGTTGGAACAAATATCTCCCACTCACATCCCCCAAGTAAACACACAGAGGTTTACATTAATTATAACTGCACGGCCATTAGCTCAGGCTTATTACTGACTAGCTCTTATGCTTAAATTAACCCATAATTCTTATATTTGTTTAGCCACCTGGCTTGGTACCTTTTCTCAGTTCTGCCAGGGCTACACAGAAAAACCCTGTCTAAAAAAACAAACAAACAAACAAACAGAATAACTGGAATAGTCTCACTTTTTTATGGTATTTTCTTTTTTGACACATGGTATTATGTCGCCCATGCTGGTCTCTGGCTATGTAGCTAAGGATGACTTGGTTATATCTATCTATCTATCTATCTATCTATCTATCTATCTATCTATCTATCTATCATCTATCATGTATGTATGTATGTATGTATGTATGTATGTATGTATCTATCTATCTATCTATCTATCTATCTATCTATCTATCTATCTATCTGTGTGTATGAGTGGTGTGCCATGGTGTGCATGTGGGTCAGATGAGAGGACAACTTTTGGCAGTCGATTCTCTAGCTCTGCAATGTGGGTGCCAAGGATAGAACTCATGTCAGGCTTGGAAGTAGGCACTCTTAGATGCTGAGCCCTCTCTCTGGCCCGAGGATGACTGAACTTATGGTCTTCTGCTTCTACCTCCTCAGTTCTGTGCCGCCATGCCCAATCTTGTGCTGCTGGGGATCAAATGCCAGGCTTTCTGCATGAATCACGCACTTTATGAACTGAGTTACATCCTCAGTCTTTGCCCGTGTTGAGGGGGGGGGGAGTTTTAAATGCTTCCCCTTGGTGTAGGAGTGAGTAGAAACTGTGTTCCTGTGGAATGACCTGTATGTGTCAGGGAGCTGAGTTGACTTTACAACTATAATCCATAAACTGCTTTTTGTGTACTAGATGGGGCGGCTTCTGCCTGTGATCCCAGGATTTGGGAGGCCGATATGAGAAGATAATGTGTTTGCGGCCGGCCTGGGCTACATAGCAAGACCCTTTCTCAAAAAAACAAACCCGACCAGTTGTATGTGTGGTTTATGTGTTACGTGGTGTCTTGGTTATTTTTCTATTATTGTGTAACAATAATGAACAAGGTAACTTACAGGAAAAAGAGTTTATTGGGGTTTACCTCTGCAGAGGGTCAGAGTCCATGACCATTGTTGTTTCTTTTTGGGGGGGCCCACCACCCAACTCCCAAATAAATTCACACACAGTGGCTTATTCTTAATTATGAATGCTCTGCCTTAGCTTGGCTTAGTTTCTAGACAACTTTTTTTTGTTTTGTTTGTTGTTTTTTCAAGACAGGATTTCTTTATGTAGCTTTTGGAGCCTGTCCTGGAACTCATTCTGTAGACCAGGCTGGCCTTGGACTCAGAGATTCACCTGCCTCTGCTTCCCAAGTGTTGGGATTAAAGGCGTGTGCCGCCACTGCTGCCGCCGCCACCACCACCACCAGGCCTAGCCAGCTTTTCTTAACTTATTCCAACTATCTTTTGCCTCTGGACTTTTCCCGTTTTCTTATTTCTGTAAATCTTACTCTTACTCTGTGGGTGGCTGTGTGGCTGTGTGGCTGTGGCTGTGTGGCTGTGTGGCTGTGTGGCTGAGTGCTGGCTCCTGGAGTCCTCCTCCTGCTCTCTCATTCCTAGATCTTCCTCCCAGATTTCTCCCTCTCTATATCCTTTCTGCCCGCCAGCCCCGCCTATCCTTTCTCCTGCGTCGCTATTGACCGGTTCTTCATTAGACCATCAGTTGGAGACAGTCCCAGGCACACAGAAGTGAGTGATGGGGAAAGAGTCCATGGATGGTCTGAGTTCAGCTATGGTTTCATTTCCCCATTACTCTGTTGTTCACCAGAGAGATTTATCATTTTTTCCTTTTTCTTTTTCTTTTTTGTTTTTTGGGGACAGGGTTTCTCTGTGTAGCACTGGATGTTCTGGAACTTGATCTGTAGACCAGGCTGGCTTCGAACTCAGAGATCCACTTGGTCTTATGGGAGGCTAGCGAAAGGCCACAGGGACCGTAGGCATCCATGTATCCAAGGACTATGGACCCAGAAAGCTGGCAGCACTGCTTGCGGAGAACATTTCTGGATCAGGGCAGGGATCCTGGTACCCTCTCCCTGCTCCTGTGAGTGCCAGCCTGGCTGTCTTCCCAGCTCTTGTTAACTGCGGTCTGCTCAGGAGGGAAAGGTCTCTACCTGGGCACATTCCCAAGTGTTGGTCCTCTTTTGATTCCAATATAGTCTTTGTCTGAGTTTACTATTACAATAGTTGTTTCCCACACATCAGTGCATTTCTACTCCATTTTCTTTATATATACAATATACCTTATCTATATACCAGGATAAAGTTGTATCGCAAATCCTAATTGGTCTTAATAACAAAATCTCAGATATCAGCGTAAATGTGAAAGATCAGAGAGACAAAGGAGCAAGCCACAGCCACCTCTTACCTCGCCAACTCCTCAGCCTGAAGGGCCCCAACTCCTGCCTCCGCCCACCTTATATTCTTTTCTCTCTGCTCAGCCATATCACTTCCTGTTTCCTCCTCCCTAGTGCTGGGATTAAAGGTGTGTGCCACCACTACCTGGCCTCTATGGTTAACTAGTGGCTAGCTCCGCACTCTGATCTCCAGGCAAGCTTTATTTGTTAGAGCACAAAGTATCACCACGTAGAGTTCTTGTTCTTTTCATGTGTTGTACTGTATGGTTGTGTAATACTTTCACTGGTCCTATTTCCATTTTGATATTAGTGACTCAAGCACATATAATATTAATGGTTTTTATGTTCGTGTGGGTGAACTGAAACATGAAATTTTAAAGGGTCAAAGAATGTTAAATGTTAGTAATTTCTAAAAGTATAATACTACTTTTTACAGCTCAAAGTGGGTCTACAGTTCTTTTAACTGTCATTTATAAGGCCAATCAATATAAACTTCACTGTGTTTTCCTTTTTCCGGTAGGTGGGCATTAACCACCAGTCCCCTCTGTGGTCCCTGGGTGAGACCTGGCCCAGGCACAGCAGGTCATACGCATGATGAGCAATACCACTGCCACTGAAGAGGCCTGGGCTCAAATGATCACAAGTTCAACCTCAGGTATGCCAAGGAGGCCTTTACGCATGTGCATGTGAGAGAATGTGTGGAGAGGTGTTCTGAGGCCCACAGGACCTGGCAGAACTGGCAGAACTGGAGAAGGGTATGTAAAGATGGCTGTGGATTTTGCAGAGTCAGAGGCTGAAGAACACTGAGCGCAGCTCTGTGGCTGGCAGCCATATCTTTATTCCTCCCCAATGTTAACATGACTTTTATTGTGTACAGTACTTTTTTGAAAAGCAAAGGTCCCTGTCTAGATACCAGCCTTTCTTAGAAGGGCCAGTTAGCCAACTAGTGAACTCCTCTGGGGCAAATCCATTTGTTTTCCCTAAGACATTAATAAGTACGTCTGTATGCTCAGTTAAAAGCTTCTAACTATGGGCTGGAGAGATGGCTCAGAGGTTAAGAGCACTGGCTGTTCTTCCAGAGGTCATGAGTTCAATTCCCAGCAACCACATGGTGGCTCACAACCATCTGTAATGAGATCTGATGCCCTCTTCTGACCTGAAGGTGTATATGCAGACAGAACACTGTATACATAATAAATACATTAAAAAAAAAAAAAAAAGCTTCTAACTAGATAAGGGAAAACGTGAACAGCATGGAGTGGCTTTTCATCCCGTCTTGTGAGAGTGCGGCTGGCATTCCACTGTAGAAACCTGGTTTCTGACACGCCATTTCTTCATTGGCTTTCCTCCACTGAACGGCGAATGGAAGCATCCTACTCACTGCATGTCCCCAGATGGTACTCGGGTCACCTCTCTACCTCCTTCCTGGTATGGAAGAAGCACTGGTCTTTATTTAAAGAATTTGATCTAAAATGGACCCCCAGGACTGCCAGATGTCACAATAAAGTAGATGCTAGAAAGAGATCCTGTAGTCTGGCCCAGCTGGGAGTGCCAGGTTTCCCTGGAGATAGTGCCACAGTCCCAGTGGGCTCAGACGCTGGCAACCGACCTCTCGGCGTGTTTGCAGTCCCTCCGCTTACGCAGCTCATTTCGTTACTCTAAGAACTCTTTTTTGTCTTTACATTTTACTTTGTGCATGCATGCACATGTGCAATACGTGGGGCCAGAGGGCAATTACTGGGCGTTGATTCTCTCCTTCTACCATGTGGGTCCGGGGAATCAAACTCAGATCCTCAAGGTTGGCGTCAAGTGCCGAGACACCCGCGGCCCTTGGCGGGGTTCCTTCAGGCTGGAGCCAGGTTTTTCTTGGTGGTGGATCTTTTTCAGCCAGAGGGTCCGCTCACGAGGTTCGCGGAGCGCTGCAGACCGCACCCAGGCTGCTGCGCGCAAACCGCGAGCGCTCAGCAGTTGCCTTGGATACGCAAACAAGGCCGGCGAGCGACCGCACGGCCGACCCGGGAGTCTCCAGCTCCTCCCCGCACTCCCAACATCCGGTGGCCCTCCCGCCAGGGTCTCTTCCGGTCCCGCCCCTTGAGGGCGGTCGCCCCCGGCGACGGAGTCCCTACGCTACCAACTTCCGCATTGGCCCACCCATCGCGAGACTTTGGCGGCGCAGCAATGGCCAGACCGTGAGTACCGCTGACGGGAGGCTGTAGGACGAGTGAGGACGGGCCGGGCCCGGCTCGGCCGCGGGGGGCCACGGGCTCGGGCCCTCTGGCGGGAGCGGCGGCTGGGGCGTGAAGGCAGTCCTCCCGCCCGGCCGCCAGCCAGTTCCCGCCCCGTCCCCAGATGCCGCGACACTGCTCCGCCGCCGGCTGCTGCACACGGGACACGCGTGAGACCCGCAACCGCGGCATCTCCTTCCACAGGTCAGCGCGCGTGCGTGGTGGCGCGCGAGGGCTCCCACGCGCAGGCGCCGGTGGGGCCGCGCTTTAGGCCGCGCGGGAGACGGCGCCTTCCCGAGGTCGAAGTGAGGCTTGGACTTGTGGGCGGGAGGGTGCGGGGGGCGGTCGAGGAGTCGCGAGTGCAACCGCAAAGGGCCGGATGCTCGCTTGCCGCGGACCTGGAGCTCGGACCCGTTCCTGCCCGGTGACGCCGAGCGGGCCCCGCGCCCTCGCTCGTCCTCAGTTTCCCCGTCGCGGGCGGTAATCGGGGGGTCGTGGGGCGGCGTGCCGGTCTCGCCTGGGAGCGTGGGCGTCCCGCGCGCAGGCCGCAGCGCTCTGACGCTCGCGGTTTTGTGGCTCTGCAGACTTCCCAAGAAGGACAACCCCCGGCGCGGCCTGTGGCTGGCCAACTGTCAGCGGCTGGACCCCAGCGGCCAGGGCCTGTGGGACCCGGCCTCGGAGTACATCTACTTCTGCTCCAAACACTTCGAGGAAAACTGCTTTGAGCTGGTGGGCATCAGGTGGGTCTTTCTGCCAGCCAGCACCGCGCACAGGGAGTGAGGCACCCGAGCATTGGGTCGGGGGGCCGCCCTGTGCCCCGGGGAAGTGATGAGCTGCCGGCATGCCCACAGACTGCAGACCTGTTGTCGGGGGCTGCGGCGGCTTCCCGGTTCTGTACGGTGAAGCGTGGCCCCAGGATCACCGGTCCAGTGGCGGCAGAGAAAACAGCGTACCAGTTGGCCGACTTGGTATGCAAGCGCGAGCACTTGAATTCAAATTCAAAGACCCAAATAAAAAGCCACATGGGGTGCCTGTTCTTTTAATCCCAGGCCTGGAGAAGACAAAACAAAAGGATATGCTGGGCTCACTGACAGCTAGCTAGTCTAGTTGAGTTGTGGAGCCCTGTGTTCAAGGAGCCCTGTCTTAAAAACAAGTAAAGAAGGTGGGTGCACTGGAGAGAGATGGAAACAGATAAAGCACTTGTTACTCTTGCAGAGGACCAGGGTTCAGTTCCCAGCACTAGGCATCCCTTGCCGTCTTCCTACCTCTGAAGGCACTGGCACATAGCTGGTACACATACACGCACACAGCAGACATTCATACTCCTGAAATAAATAGAGCTGGCCTAGGTGACTCAGGATAAGAGCACTGGCTTCAAGCCAGGCGGTGGCGGTGGCGCACGCCTTTAATCCCAGCACTCCAGGAGATAGAGGCAGGCAGATCTCTGAGTTCGAGGCCAGCCTGGTCTAGAGTGAGTTCCAGAACAGGCTCCAAAGCTACACAGAGAAACCTTGTCTCAGAAAAACAAAAAGAGAGAGAGAGAGCACTGGCTTCTAGAACCCGGGTTCCTTCGCCATCATCCACATAGTGGCTCACAAGTCAGAAGACTCTAGTTCCAGGGATCATTGAGGAAAGCCTCTGGTCTCCACACAAAAGAAAAACCGCTTTCCCCTGGGGTACTCAGCACCTAGTTCTTTGAGCAGGCCCCCGATGAGAGAATTCTTTTGACTGGCCCACCTAGCCCTGCTGGGAGGTTTTCCACTCAACTCTGGAAGCTCATTTGCAGGGAAGACTAGTTTGATTTTACCTCGGTGGCATTCTTTGGATCATTATTGGCAGTGTGCCTTGGAGCCTCTCAGCCCTGGTGCTGAGGGACCTCAGTGGGATCCCAGGGGAAGTGGCAGCACTTTTTCTCCAGCTCATCTGGGCTGCTTTTCCCCACAGTGGGTATCACAGGCTGAAGGAAGGGGCAGTCCCCACCATATTTGAGTCTTTCTCCAAGTTACGTCGAACAACCAGGACCAAGGGGCATGGTTATCCACCTGATGTCAGCCAGCTCCGGCGATGCAGGAAGCGGTAGGTGCTGCAGGAGGGGGGTGCCCCACCCTCCCCCCAGGGCTGAGGGACTGGACTGTAGGGTGAATGCCAGCGTCTTCACTGAACAGGGTTCTTGCTGCCTAGACCCAGTGAAGGGGCTCAGTGTTAGGAAGTCTGAGTGGGTGTATGAGGGGCCCGGCATGCCCCGAGTTGGCTAGTCAGTTTCTTTGTGTCTCCCCTCCAGCTGCTCTGAAGGTCAAGGACCCACAGCTCCATTTTCTCCACCTCCTACTGATATCATCTGCTTCCCCGTGGAAGAAGCCTCAGCACCTGCCACTCTGCCTGTGTCCCCAGCTGTGAGGCTGGAACCTGGCCTTAACAGCCCCTTCTCAGACCTCCTGGGCCCTCTAGGTGCCCAAGCAGACGAAGCAGGCTGCAGTGCCCAGCCTTCGCCAGAGCGGCACGCCTCTCCTCTTGAACCTCGGCCTATCTCCCCGTCCGCGTACATGTTACGGCTGCCTCCGCCCGCCGGGGCCTACATCCAGAATGAGCACAGCTACCAAGTGGGGAGTGCCTTGCTCTGGAAGAGGAGAGCTGAAGCGGCTCTTGATGCTCTGGACAAGGCCCAGCGCCAGCTGCAGGCCTGCAGACGGCGGGAGCAGCGGCTTCGGCTTCGGCTGACCAAGCTGCAGCAGGAGCGGGCGCGAGAGAAGCGAGCACAGGCAGATGCCCGCCAGACCCTCAAGGACCATGTTCAGGACTTCGCCATGCAGCTGAGCAACAGCATGGCCTAGGACACCAAGGCTCTGGCCGTGCTTCCTCAGGCACTTGATGGGGACTGCATCCGCCAGGCCGGCCAGACGTCACAATAAAGTGGATGCTAGAAAGAGACCCTGCTGTCTGGCTCTGCTGGGGGTGCCAGGCTTCTCCCCAGACAGTGGCCAAAGTCCCGGAGGGCTCAGGCCTGGCATGCAACCTCTTGGCCATGGGGACTCTACAGTCCCCCTGCTTATTTACTCTTTCAAGTAAGAAGGCCAGCGCCTGAGTTCAGCTCCGCCCCTCCCCTCCTTTTTCCAGTCAGGGTTTCCTGTAGCCCAGGCTGGTGTCATTGAAGCCAGAGAAGACCTTGAACTCCTAATCCTCTTGTACCTTCTGAGTAGAGTGGTAGGCATGTGCCGTCATGCCCAGTGTCTGACTCGATACTTATGGAGAGGCACAGCAAGCCTCTGCCCACAGGTCTCATCTCTCTGGCCAGTCCCGTGCACTGCCCACTCTGGCCGAACTTAGGGAGCTCAAAACCAACATAGGGTGCTACACTTGTCAGGCTGCAGGGCCATACCTAGATGCAGCATTCAGGCCCTAGCCTTGGTACTGTATTTATCTTGGGAACTTAGGCTTCTTACTGTAGCTGTATCCATGGTAAACACAAAGCACATGGCCTCTCCCTGCTGCTCCTTGGCCACATAGCTCAAGCACAGTTGAGTTTCTGTCTGAGTTTGTACACAAGGTTCTCAAAGTTTTCTTTTTGGAGCCCTAGGTGAATGTTTATTTGTATCCTGTGTAGAGGATATGAATGTCCAGTTACAGGGGTCAGCAAGATTTGCCGACCGAAGTTTTCAGGTGTTCCCCCGAAAAGAGGCTTGGATGAGGTCACAACCTTGGGGGAAGGGCTGACAGCACAGCTGACTCACCCAGCCTGCCTGGCCGCCCACCATAGGCGGGACCCTCCACTCAGCTCAACTGCCATCAGCTTGTGCCTAGTACCTCATCTCCTAACCAGACCACTTCCTGGATGTCCGTATGGGACTGCCACCCAGGGCACCTGTCTACCTGGAGCCCCACAGCATGGGGTGATGGAGCACAGGAGGGAAATGTTTTTAAGTCCAAGGAAAAGTCAAGCATTTCTCCAAAATGAGTTCTGCCTTCCTAGCACAGAACAGGTTCCTGTACGTTAAAAAAAAAAAAAAAAAAAAAAAAAAGGGTCCACTATGCTGTATTGGGATGTCAGGTAACAAGGATGGATGCCCCGGACAGTCCTGGTCTCTGGGGAGATATCTCGGGTACTCAGTTTTCTCTCCCTTGTGACTGACACCATGTGTTGACATGGGCAGAACGGGGAGATGTGCTACCCCCACATCTGGGGAATCTCCTAAGCCATAGAACTGCCATGGGCTTCAGGAGGGCAGACCAAAGGTGGCTGCCATGCCAGCCAGGTGTGTCATAGCATTGCCACAGCTTTATAGGAGGCATGTCAGTGGCAGAACACACACAGGAGTGTTTCTGCTGACTTCTCTCTGGCCCAGATACGCACACTGGGTGGGCCAGAAACGCAGCCTCTCTGGGAGGCTTAGCTACACTTGCTGCCCTGTGGGCTGGGAGCAAAACCTTCTAAAGTTCATGTCTAGGATCAGATCACTGTCACTGGTCCCCATTAGGTTCTGGGTAAGGAGTGGAATGCACCCTACTGTTAGTTAAGAGTAGCTTGCCAAGCCCTCGTCCCCTAGCAGTAGGATTCTATGCCTGGATCCACAGCACACATCATCTTTCTACCGCTGAGTGGCGTCCCTGAGCCTTGGTCTCCTTGGGGGAGGGGCCAGCTGGGGAGGGAGTCTGCGTCACTTGCCATCCCTGTGGGGCCTGCGTCCTCAATGAGTTCCTGTCACCTCAGTGCCCTGTGGGCGCTGGGAACCACAGGTATGGTCACTGTAGGTGGAGATGTGGCCAATCGGTCGAGTGTCATCACTCTCCAGTCTTCCACGATCCTCAGATGTCGGCACCCAGCTCTGCACACTGCTTGTCAGAGATGTGGGAGGCCAGGGAGTCTATGATGTCCAGAAGCAGCTGCTGACTCAGCAGCCGCAGTGTGGGCAGCTTAGAGACCTGCACAGACGACCAGAACTAGATGAAGAAGCCAGACCCCACGAGGACCAGGGGGGGCAGCCTGCTGGGGAGGGCTGGGACCTAGAGCACTGGGGCCAGAGCCTGACCTTGGTGAATTGGTGCACAATGATGTGCAAGCAGTGCCGCTTCATGTCCAGTGCCTGCGTCTTGTCAGCCGCCTCCAGAATCTGCAATGGCAGGAACCATGAGGCGCTGCCCCGGCTCACCCACAGATGAAGGTGTTGCCTGAAGGGTACCAAGGCTCTACCTGTAGCACGTTCTGCACGGTCACGTTCATCTCCAGGTTCTGCTTGCAGTATGCCTGCAGTCTGTTGTTGTAGAAGCCATAGTAGTAGGGGGCCGCAAATAGGTAACTGGGCACAAGTTAAGGAGCTGCCAAGTCAAAGGACATATTCACGTGCAGCCACCCATCCTGCCACATCCCTTGTCCTCCAAGGGAGGGTACTGACAGAACTACACAAACCTCAGAAGCCAGAGTTCCAGTTTGGGCCCCAGCTGGCTTACTCTCTAAACTGGTTCTGAACCATTTTAGGCTCAGAGGCCCATTCAAGATCCAAAGAAAACCCGAATCCTCTCATTCCCATGTGCACATTCACAGAACTTTTCCAAGTCTTCTGGGGCCCACCGGTGTCCTTGCACCTCAAGTTCAAACACTACTGACATAAAGCATGAGGAATCACTCTGTCCAGGAGGCCCAGCACCAGCACCGGACACTCTAGAATTAGGTACCGAGCCAAGATCGCCCAGCCAACAGAACGGGAACCAAACATGTCTGAGAGGTGCTAAGACTTCTCAGTGGTGACCCAGGAGCACAAGCAGGTAAAGGATGCAGGGAGTCCTCAGGGGGCATGTTGACCTCTCCATAGTAGATGTAACGTAGCATGGACTCAAAGGCCTGTCTGCTGGGCACCATCTCCCCGATGGAGATGTTCACCTGCCCATCCTCCGGCATGAATGAACGGAACATGGCCTCAAAGTAGCTGCAAACAAGGAGGTAGACCCCAGCTCTCAGGAGAAGAAAGCATCAAGGCCCTGCCCCACCCCTCACCCACCCTTAGCACACCTAGAACGGGCAGCGAGGATGGCTTTGTGGGCCGGGCGTGGGTGGCCGTCCAGCAGTAGTGTGATGTCACAGAACTCCGAGCCTGCCCCCTCCAGGTACGCCTTCATGTCCTGGATCAAAGATGTGCCTGGGGGTGTAGAAGGACCTTGAAAAGACTCCCACCTCTACCCTGAATTGTTTTCTACCTTTGTTTTCTGGCCCAGTAGGCACTGCCTCTCCCCAGTGACCATGTTGCTGCTCTGTGCAGTTTCCCCGAGTCAGAAGTACCAGTTTGTCCTCTCCTCAGCCCTCAGGTCACCTGGAAACTGGCCCTCAGGGATGCTGCACCAATCACTGACCTTCCACGATGTGCCTGCCCTACATGCCCAGCTCCCAGTCTCATGCTGGACTCCCCTCCAGGCTCATCTTTTGAACTCTCATGCCAGTGGCAGGGACTAGTGTAACCCCCAAGGAGAGTTGGGGAGGTGCTACCAATCTTCTCCATCGGGTAGGCTGGCACACTGACAAGATGTAGCTGCAGCTGCCTGGCTCACTTGACATCAGATTTGACCAGCCAACCAGAGAAGGCACACGTCACCCCGAGGAGTGGGTTTCGGGGTCTCCAGGCTCTTGCTGTTGGAAGCCCCCATGGATTCTTTGAGACGTGCCTGCCTCTGTCCCTCCCAGCCTTTGTGCCTGCAACACCCGATGGGTCACAGAGCCACCCTTACCCCAAGGGCCTGGCAGGTAGGTAGCTACTAAGTCTCTCATCACTACTTCCCTACCAATGTCCACGGGTTGATCCGAGGGTGCTCGAGGGGGCGGCTGCTGCTTCCTCCGCACGATCTCTACGATCAGTGGGGATGAGAGGCGCTCGAACTCCTTCATCATGATCACCTGGTTGAAGTGGGACTCCCTCACTATGAAGTTCAGGCAGTGCTCCTGGGACAGACGGGCACAGGAGGCAGCTGGAGTCAGGCCCAGGCCCAGGCTGGGCACCAGAGCTTGCAGTGAGGAACAACGGAATACACCCATCCCACCACAGAAGGCCTGGGCTGGCAGGCCTCCCCAGCTGCCGGGCTGACCCCGCTGCACCTTAAGCTGGCCCAGCTGTAGCCTGGCGGCACTCTCACACACAACCAGCACATTCTGGAGATCCACGGAGGCTTCGATGTACTGCCGACACAGCTGTTCAAGACGGCACAGCTGGAAGCTCAGCGCCAACTTGTACACATCCATGATGAGCAGCACGTCCTCGACATGGCCTGCACCAGAACGCCCCTGAGCCTGGGCCCCGGGAAAGGAGGGCTCCCTCCAGGAACACGAGGGTCGGGGCTGTAAGATGGCAGCTGGACTGCATGCCAGCTGACTCCGGCTTGTGCCTCGGGCACACCTCTAACAGACCTCGCAGCACCCCCTGCCTCCGCTGCCCATCCCCACCCTGGTCCACACCACCCATACCCGAGGCAGACCTTTCCGTGGGTACTTGATCTTGTCTGTGTAGAGAAACTGCATGAGCACCTCGAATGGCCGGGCCTCGGCCTCACGAATGGCCACACGTAACAGGGGTGGCCGCGCCCTGCCCACAGCTGCACCAGGGACCTCCCTGGGTGCGAGGGCCCCATCCTCCTCCAGCTTCTGTGGGGGAAACGGGAGCTCAGGGCACCCTAGTAGACAGCGGGCAAAGCTTCCCGGTCACGAGGGCCAAAGGAGACCTTACCTGGGCCAGCCACTCTCGAGCCTGCAAGATCTTCCTGCGCAGCCAGCGGCTCCGTGCGGTGACGATGGCAACGTGGCCTTGTACACACTCTTCCTTCTGCGTGGAGGGCGAGTGGTTTGTGGGTGGGAGCACAGGGCCCCGGCCAGGGGACAGAAGCCAGCAGGCCAGGGCGAAGCTCCCCGCACTCGGCAGACACAGTGGGAGGCTGCGGAGTTGCCTACCTCGCCC